CAGTTATCTTTTAATTGGTGAGTGATTAAATAAATTGTGGTAAATTCATATAACAGAATATTGATATTAGTAAAAAAAATGATGTATGTAACAATTACCATGAATCTTCAAGGAATTATGTTTGCTGCATGAGAAAAGCCAATCCATAAAAGTTAAATATTACATAGTTTTATTAGGTAGCATTCTTGACATGAAATTGTTTTCAAAATGGATAACAGACTAATGCTTGCTAGAGGCTGCACTGAAAGAAGTAACTAAAAACAAGACTCCATGAATAGCTGGAATGCCAACTGAAATGTTTCAACAAGCTTATGAAGCCCTGGAAACACTCACTTACTTAGAGGACGAAGGTGCACCTGACCCAAGCCATAGTATTTTCAATTGTCTCACATGCATGTAAAAGTTCAACATTAAATAAGGAAGACTGAAAAAGAGTCTATACAGTTGAATTGTGATGCTGGAGGAAACTATTAAAAGTACTATGGACTGCTAAAAGGACAACCTATCTGTCTTGGAAGAAGTAACAGCCAGAGTGTTCCCTAGAGGCAAGTTTTGCAAGAGTTAATCTCATATACTTAGGGCATATTATCAGGTGAGACCAGTCCCTGGAGAAGGACATCATGCTTAGTAAAGTGGAGGGGCAGCAAAAAAGAGCAAGGCCCTCACCCAGATGGATTGATACAGTGGCTGCAACAATGGGCTCAGGAACAGGAACAGTTGTGAGGATGGTGCAGGACCGGACAATATTTCATTCTGTTGTGCATGGCGTCTTGATGGTTGAGAAACAACTCAATAGCACCTAACAACATCACAGCCTACAAAAACCTTTGGGACACAGCAAAAGCATTTATCGGAGGACAATTTATAGCAAGCAACACACATAACAGAATAAATCAAAGATCTACACCTTAACACCTCACCTCCAGCAACTAGATCAAGAGCAACAAGACAAACCCTCAAACCACAGAAGAATAGAATCAAAGATGAAAGCAGATATAAATCAATTGGAAAACAGAAAACAATAGAAAAATCCACCAGACAAAAAATGGATTCTTTCAAAGTTTTAACAAAAATGACAAGCTGCTGGCAAGTTTAACAAAGGAAAAGAAAGAGAATATGCAAATACATAGAGTAAAAAATGCAAAGAGTAACAACACAACAAATCCAAATGAAATAAAAATAATAATAGCACACTACTACAAAAGACTGTACTCCCTACTCCAACAAGTCTGACAACCTAAAGAAATGCCCAAATAACTAGAAATACACCATCTACCAAATTAATGCAGATGGATGTAAGAAACCTCAACAGACCATACCAACAACAACAAATAGAGAAGGTCATCAAGAAATTTCCAACCAAAAATGTCCAGAACCAAATGACTTCATAGGGAAATTCTACCAAGTATTCCAAGAAAAGCCATCATAAATTCTCCAAACTATTTCAAAATATAGAATGGGACAACAAACTCCTGAGCTCATTCTATTAAGTAAACATAACTCTGATACCATTTACTGGTTGTGTATTTTTTTGATACAGCCAGAAAATAGTGGGATGTTGAATTGTGGGAAGATTTACTGTCTTGGGAGTCAACATTCCATTCCATGGGCTGCGGGTAGTTTTTGTAGCCCTAATACAAAATATACTTAATGGCAATTTGGAGTCACTGTCATGCATTTGTATGACTTGAGCATTTAAAATTTTGTTTCCATGTTGTTGTTGTTTTAATAGAATTGTTTCTGAAAACCATTCTTTCATCATGGCTTTCTTGTCAGAACTGTGTGAATTCTGTAACACCTTTTGTCATGGTCATCCAAATTTCCTAATAATTTTGTTATGTGCTGTGAAGGGTTCAACGTTTGAGTTTGCATTGTGTGGCATTAAATTGTGAGTTAGTGGGACTTAAAATGTAACAGCTTATGAACATTTGAAGATAATAGTGCTTTACAACCGCTTTTTAAAAATTTCCCCCAAATTTAAAGCTGGAAAATCACTGGAATTTAGAAAATATTCCATTTTAGGATTTTGGTACATGCATTAAGAAGTGTGTACAATTGTGTACAAATTGTTCATAATATCTCTGTACTCATCTTAAAACAACAAATAAAAGCCCAGTTACAAAAAACATTGATGAACCCATGAAGCATCTCATGATATGAATGGACCTGGAAACCTTTATACTGAGCAAAATTAGTCAATCACAAAAGGACAAATATTGTGTGAGACCACTATTATAAAAATAAACACCATTATAAAGGCAGACTTCTGTTCTCAAGTCATGTAATCTTATAGTCTGATCTCCCAAGCAACAAGGCAATGTGCTTGCCTCGTGCTTATGACCCATATCCTCCTTTTTTTTACATCTTAAAAATCACTTTGTCAGAGTGGCCCTCACCTTAACTGGGGTCCGATTCTCGTGTTGAAGGGACAAGGAGAAGAACAATCATTCCTGAGATATAATATTGTTCCATAACTCACCCCAAACCCAGGGAACCCTAATGGAAATTCAAATCCAGAGGTGAGGTGAGCATGTTTGTCTAACAGAAGGTGATTTCACTTCTGTTGATAGGTAAACTAGGAGAAGCAACCTGCCATTGGGACAAATGCTTAATATTATATAGACCCTCCCAATGATAGAATACATCATGTATTACATTCCTAATCAGGTACTCTTGACTGAGTTTCTATCCAGCCCTTTGTGATCCAGGTTGCATGTTATAGACAATTGGGGCATTAGACTTTGTCCTTTTGAAGTACACAACAACCTTCATTAATCAAACCAGAAGACTCTGCTTTTGGAAAGCCCACTAAGTGAACAGGACTTTACCATATACATACTTGTAGCAGAGTAATTGCTATCCCAAGGTTGTGGATATGGAAGTCATATGGAAATCTCTTGCTTTGATGTGGCTCAGTAATTTGCAACTTATGACTACCATATATTTGCTATGTTCATACTCTTAGCTTTTTATGAAATGCCTTAATCCAGCAGGCATAGTTCCATCTTAGTAAGTGAGCATTATTGAAAATTTTGCCATATCTTCAACTCTAATTGTCCATGTAAAGAATGTCCAGTTACTTAAGTTTTAAATCGGTACAAGACCATAATCAATGTATTTTAGTCTAAAAATCTATCTTATAATTATATACATTCCTTTTCTCAGCAACATTTTAAGTTGTATACCATTGGCTAAATTAATAATATTTTAATAGAGTTGCCATATGCCCCATGAGGATTATTTATAATATTTTCCAATAAAATGATAATGATGTCTATAAAATTAACCAGGGACACCACAGATACATGAATGAATTTTGTACTCTAACTCATAGCCCTAACCTAGGAACAATTTGTTCTTATGATGTGGCCCTACTTGATACTTGCCATCATGAAGGGATCACAGAATATGTGCATGCTATAGTAAAGTGTGGTGAAGAAATTAGATGACCCCTAGCTATCAGAAAGAATAATGCCTGGGGTCTTAAAGTCTTACCTTAAAACTAGTAGCCATCTAAGTGTCAGCTAAGCCCACAGGGAAGAAGCACATGAGCCCCTGTGATCCAAGGATTATAAATAATAAAATCCAAGATCTAAAGATGGAATTGTATCTTAGATTCTGATTATCCGGTTTTATCTTAGATTCCAATTACTCAGTTTGTAAAAGGCTCTGGATGGCAGTGAGAAATGCATTTGCAGAGTCCCCACATGGATTAAACCTCCAGTGAATTCCCTCTGACCATTGAGCAGGGATGTGAATAGCCTTACTATCAGTCAGAATTCATTGGAAAATTGACTATTGCAGATATAGTTAGGTTAGAATTGAACATCTTATCGGTTGTTTTCCCTTTTGACCCATTTTTAATTTGTTCTCGTTTCTATTAATCTTCTGCTTTCTCTTCAATTGAGATTTTTCTGTGTTTTATTTTGTTGTAATTGTTGGGGGGTTGTGTGTTTGTTTGTTTGTTTGTTTGTTTTTTCATATTAAATCCAAGATAGGTAAATCTACTGAGATAGTAAGTAGAGTAATACCATATATACTCGAGTATAAGCTGACTCGAATATCAGCTGAGGCACCTAATTTTACCACAAAAACTTCATTAAAAATGTGCTAGAAAACTCAGCTTATACACGAGTATATATGGAGGTTGGGAGGAAATGTCACACTAATAATAAGAGGTGCAAGAATGAAGAAAATGTTCTAAAATGTATTGTGGTGATGATTACACAACTCTTTTTTAGCATATTTAAACCAGTGAATTCTATAGTACATGAATCATATCTCAATAAAACTGTTAACATATCTTTAAAAGTTTAGGTCTTTCATCTTAGTGTTATTGAAGCTATTCCCTTTGAAAGGTGTCAGATAGATTCCAAGTCTTCCTTGCTTTCCAGGAATCATAACTCCTGGTGGTGAATTTGCTTTCTTCACTATCAAATTCATTGCTCAATTAAGTGTGCGTGTCATCTCTCTCAACCAGAGGTAAAACCCTGAATCATTTGTTTAGAAAGGCCTTCTCCTGTAGATGTCTGCTGTGATAAGCAGTGGTTCTTAATCAGACTCCTATGACACTCCCAAAAGGAGTTAAGGAGGGGACAAGTTTTGCATAAGAGACTAAGCTTTTAGAAAGAGCTCTAGATTGGAAGTTCAGAGAATATGGCTTATGGCATTTGCTTTGCCACTAACTTATCATATGACCTTGGTTAGGACATTTCTCTCCACATCTGGTGTCCTTATCTGTAAAATGGTGTGTAACAGCATACCAAGTTTCTTAGTGATATCTTACTAGATGGAAAAGTTGTAATGTTTTGGTAATGGCCGCACCATTCCAAAATCTGTTAAAGACAGGAATTCTTCCTTTGGATGGTTTGCAATTACAATTCCTACTGTATAATAGTTGGCCTTAAATTGTCTGCCCAACATGGTCACTGAGTAATTTGAGAAGTTGCTTGCTACTACCTAACTTATGCCCTTTCCCTTTGATCTCTAATCTACTCCAGGTGTCAACTCTGCCCGCTCAGTTCCTCCTTCCTACCCACCACCGCAAGACCCATTAAACCAGAGCCAATACCTGGTCCCCGATGGCATCGTTCAGTCGCAGGTCTTTGAGTTCACCGAACCCAAGCGCAGCCAGTCACCATTCTGGCAAAACTTCAGCAGGTTAACCCCCTTCAAAAAATAATACCTGGAGGGAGTCAGATAATTTTAAAATAAAGTAAATAAAATTATATTTATAGATGGATCTTTTTTCAGAGAAGCACTGTTGAAATGTGTGTATGTAGAAGTATATATGTGTGTATATATATATATGCATATATGCACACAAACACACATACTCTTGAGTGTATGTACACACACACACACACACAGAAGGACCAAAAATGTTTTCTGTTGGTTTTGGGAGGTGAAGTTGGTAGTTAGTAGAAAGAGGTACCAATGACTTCCAAATATTTCATCCCTTCTAAAGAGTTTTTAGTTCTTACCTTGTTTACCTCCTCTTTCCATTAAAAAAAAAAGACATTTATAATTGTTCCTTTTCTTGTTGAGATAATCTATTTGCTCTCTTGTGAGTGATTCATTGACTTGTCATTATTACCATAGATGTGCTTGTATTTGGTTTTCTTTCCTGATGATACTGATGCTGATGATTTTCATTTCATTTAATGTAGTGGAGTTTGGGGAGTTGGGATTTCTTTTAACCCACTTTCACTTTTCACTGGGGATCCCTTTTTTCCTCTCCCTCAGCTGACCATCTGCAAATGTCCCTGAAGCTCTGCAGTTGCCCCAACAGCTTTTTCCCTGCATCCTCTGTCCTAAGTCTTGCCCGTCTGGACATGCTCTGTTGTGCCCTGTGACATAACTACTTGGTATTTATACTGCTTCCACTGTGTTTTAGGTGTTGTGTAGGGATCAAAATAAAACAGAAACAAAGGAGTGTTAGAGTATAATGATACTGGAAAGGACTCTGTTCAAGGAAAATTCTAGTTTTGAACTATTTCTTTGCTTAGCATTGGGGGTTCCATGTTGCCGTATTGGCAGGTCATGGTAGCATAGTTTGGATCAATTATTTTTTTGAGTATGCTTTTGGTTAAAGGCTTCCCTGGCCCAGAAGCATATCTAAACTGGAAGCCTCGTGGAGGAGGAATTTAACTGGTCCCCAATACCAAGAGTCTTTTAAGGCTGGACTCACCACAGCAAGCAGTCCAGGGAGCAGTCATTTCTGCTTCCATTTGCAGGTGGTTTTTTTGTTTTGTTTTGTTTTGTTTTGTTAGGGGCGGCACTGTTAGGTGTCTAAGGTGGGATCCAAGACAGAATCCACCTAATCAAGATCATCAACTTCCTTCTAGTTTTTAACCTGGACAGAGTCCAAAGCTGAAAGTTGCCTATTACAGGAAAAAAGAGACAACTTTGGCGCAAGATATATACTTGCAGTAGCTACCACTCCAGTTGTTAATAGATTGCATGGATAATCTTCCCTGCCTCCTTCCTTACTTTTTCCTTTCCCTTCTTTTTCCTGTTCTCCCAGTACAGAAGAATTTTTGGTGTTGACAAAGTTAAAGTAGTTCTGGTTCTCAAAGAAGATCCTGTTTCCAACATCCTCATGTCGCAAGACATTTGACACAAGTAAAAAAAAAAGACACAGGACACTTTTTCCTGCAGTTAAAGGGTATGAAACAGAGATGCTGTCCTCAGGTTCACATATGAAAGTTTCACACTTGGGCCAAACTAATTTCTCCCACAAAGAGGCAAGCTCATATTCCTCTTCCCCCATGTAACCACATGGATATATAGAGACCTTGATTAGCAAGTAATATGGAGTAAAAAGGAGCAAAGAGAGGTCTTAGACCCCATAAAAATAGTTCATCCTGAAATAAATCCAGCTTTTTAAGCATAGCTTGTTTGGTTACTGCGCTATGCCTCCTGAACCATACGAGGCCATGCCCAGCCTGAGAATATTTCCTTTGTAGAAATCAAATGACAAGTTTAAGCTTCAATTCCACACACACACACCCCGCCGCCGCGCCCCCCCCCCATGTTGGGTTGAAGCTGAGCTTAGCAAAAGTACATGACTCTGGACTGACCACTACTGCTCCTTACATAACTCAGTTAATTAAGCTCTCTTGGCAAGGGGCTTGGTGCCAAGTATTCAGACTAAAGTGTCCCACCTAGTGATCAGAGTCTCTCAGTAGCATTGCAAGTCTTCTTTGAGTGGATATTGCCCTCCTCCTTTCTACTCTTCCTCCTAGGATCAGCCATGAACTTTTTTTTTTTTTGAAGGCTAGGGCACACTAGGAGGGAATGTTTAGAATAGTTCCTAAGCCTATCAGACCAAACATATCTTGTACAAAAGCCTCTCCTCACAGGGCTTGTACCCAGAGCTCCAGTATCAGAGATATCACTTTCTGCTTTCCACCTCTCGTGTACTCAACAAAATGGAATCACTAAATGTCAATACGTTGTGAAAGCAACAAGAAATCAGTTTGCCATCCGTTGAAGTGGTTCCTCAGCTTTTAGTAACAAAGTGGACCAGTGGTCAGCATCTTAAAGGGGACCCTATTACCTTGGTTCAGGGTACCAACCTAGTCTTTGTCCTCAAAACAATGCCAACATTAAGAACTCTAACTCTTCTCCATTTCTGCATGTTCTTAAGATCCCCTTTCCTCAACTCAGTGGGGCCAGGATTTGATCTCCAAAAGGGTTGCTAGTATATTTGGAACCTGCTATAAGGTGATCCTGACAAAAAGATCCACTCTCTCTTTTACCCTCTCTTTCTATCCTTTTCTCTGTGTGTATATCTCTAATTGATATACAAGGAGGGCAACAAGAAAGTTCCAAAAATTCTAGTGTGAAGCCAAATAGTAATCTTTTAGTGCTTTGGGGGTAGGGGACTGGGCTGGGGTGGATGGATGGGTAATAGTGATTTTGATGACCCCTGCTGCTCTGCATTTGCCAGTTTATTCTTTTGTTTCTTCTATATGATTATTTGACTCTGTCAAACAAGTGTCAAACTTGTGTGTTTAGAAAACAACAATAAATGTTTAACAACAACAAAGAGAGATATTGTAATGACACAAAGCCTTATGAAAATATTTATGGAATTCAATAAAAGAAGTAAAAAGATGCTTCCATGATTAACTCTTGTTCTATTTGTGTGTGTGTGTGTGTGTGTGTGTGTGTGTGTGTGTGTGTGTCCAATTGCAAAATAAAGTGGGTTTGCCTGGAATGCGTTGAAAATCCCTGAAAGATAGGAGGGCAGCATACCTCAACTCAATCTTGACCTGCCAGTCCTTTTGTTGTCACATTGTCAAGGAGATGAGCACAGGGTTTCAGTGTCACAGCTCCAAATGTCACATGAAAGTTCTACTTGTGCCCTGAAAGAAAGCTTTGTTACAGTAACAGAACTGAGATTGCTGAAAACCAATAGTAAATCAAAGAATAGTAAACCAAAAGAATTACAAAACCAATTAAACTCCCAAACTTGAGTGGTTTCTGAATTTAATGTGAAAACATTGGTTGGGGGGTGGTATATTGGCAGATAATCAGGAATCTGGAGACACGAGTCTCTAACTTCCATCAAATCACTTCTGTGAATAGAACCATCCCTCTTAAGCTCATGAGATGAGATTTACCTGATATATCACCTGAGGCAGTACCTGGAAAATTGCCTAGGGCATAATTTCAGGCACAGATGCTGCACAAGACATTAATGAATGTTCCCAAAAAACACACTCACTGTCCAGTATTGCTTCTGAACTTATAATTAGACTTAAGTTTCAGCAAGCCCCAAAAGATGAAGTACAAATTGTGACTCAGGAAGAGGTGCACTACACTCTAAAAGAACTGCTTGTTTTTTTTCTAATATTTACCAACAGAATACTAAGGAATATGTGTGGAAAATATGATTACGAGTGTGGGAGAATGGCTTAAGAAATATAAACTTGAATCAGTCTTAATTTATCAATATGGGCCCAGTAAATACAGATTATTCAGGGTTTCAGCTTAAGAGGTTAGGAAAGAATTTAATAGTTTATTTATTTGGTTCTTAAAACATGGATTGTATGGTGGTCTACATTAAATGAAGTTGAAGTACCTAACCTACCTTAGTATACTATAGAAAAATGTATCCAGTTACTTAGGAAAACTTACATCTTAGAATGGTTTTATCAAGTTAAACTCATAAAATCAGACACGGAGGACACACCTTTTACTACAACAGTGAAGAATAAACTTGTGAAGGGAGCTTCAGCCTCAGCCTCAAACTGCAGTGATTGCTATTTAACGCAAGTCAGATTTGATGGGGAACAGCCCTAATTGAATTGAAACACCTAACTGCAATCAGATTGATTGGACTTCTGAGTGGTAAGAACTTATTCAAAAAGACAAAGTGGATATTGTAGCCATAATGGGCAGCAGAGTGAAAGCAATAATCAGAATGGTGTAACTCTAATGGACTCTTATTTACTCAATCTGTATAAACAGAAGAATTCTTGGTCAAGTGAATGGCAATCTAATTTGAATGGCTAGAGTAGAAAGTCAGGTTTGAGCCAATTTACAGACTCACAATTTCTTGAATGAAGGTAAGGCCAGGTGCTTCCATTCAGCCTCCCACAAAGGGACCTATAGCCTTTTAAAAGAGTGACAGGGAAAAGGAATAATAAGACTTCTCAGGGATTATTGCATACTGACTCTGAATTGACACTACCTTCAGGAGACACAAAACATCACTGTGGCTCACCAATCAGAATGGGGACATATGGAGGTAAAGACACTAGTTTCAATGTCTCCCCAATCTACCCTGTGGTGATTTCCCCAGTTCAAGAATCCCTAATTAGAATAAACATACTCAGTAACTGGCAAACCCAGCAGGAATTGCAAAATTGAAGGCATTAGGATGGCCTCAATCTAGGAAAATAGTAAACCAAAAGCAATACCACATTTCTGGAAGGATTACAGAGATTAGTGCCAAAACTTTGGTGATGCAGGAGTTGTGTTTCCCACCACTTCCTCGGTTAACTCACCTGTTTTGATTAAAGAATGAGAGTTAACAAAAGTTAATTAACTAGCTAGTTTCAACCCCACCAGCTGCTCTGTGGGAGAAAGATAAGGCTGTCTGCTCCCATAAAGCTGTACAGTTTTGGAAACCCTTATTAGAGTTACTATACATTGGAATCCATTCAATGGCAATACGTTTTTTAAGTGATAACTTCAATTACAGTTTCTGTTCCTGATGTGGTTTCATTGATTGAGCAAATTAATTCTTCTGGTATCTAGTATGCAGCTATTGGTCTATCCAATACTTTTATCTCAATTCTGTTTTCGAAGGATCGCCTGGTAAGACCAACAATACAATTTCACCATCCTAATTCAGGAATATATCACCTCATCTGTCACAATTTACTATGAGGGGTCCTGCCACATTGTTTAGTGAGCAGAGCCATATGATCTTGCTGATTAAATGGTGTTTGGAATGTCAGTAGAAGATTGATGTAGCTGGAGTCTTTGGAAAGCCCCTATTGGTGGATCACAGTGCAGACCCTTAGGATTTTAGGGAAAGCACTGTCATCCTATGAAGATAACCACTGTCCTTTTTGAGAACAAGATTGTGGCTTGTTACTGCACCTTAACAGAGCCTGAACACCCAATCGTGAGCCACTAAGTCCTCATGTCTTTTTCTGGTTCACATATTCATAAATTTGAACATGCACAGCAACAGCACTCCTTGATTAAATGGAAGTAGTGTACGCAAGATTGGGTTCCAGGAGGACCTAAAGGCATAACTAAGTTGCATGAGGAAGTGACTTCACGCTTGTCACATTGCTTTCCACCTCTTACTCTGCATCAATAGTATTTATGGCATCATGGGTAGTTTCTTATAATACGTTGACTGAGAAAGAGAAATTACATGCTTATTTTACAGGCCATTCTGCATAACATTGACAACAACAGTACTGCAGTCCCTTTCTGAGACCTCTCTGAAGGACAATGGTGAAGGGAAATCCTTTCAATGGGGAGAACTTTGAGCACTGCAATGTGTTGATGCTTGGAAAGAGAAATGGCCATATATATGATATACAACAGAGTGAACAGGAAAAAATAAGCACAATACAATCCTTTTCACATCCTTAAAATTTTCACTATGTTTGAAACAATTGTTGGAGCTAAATATGTCAATCTATCTTGTTGAATATCTTTCTATTTCGTGCTGACCCTCTACTAAACATGATGTGCTTCTGCTTGAACTGGTACCTCCTGATAATATGCCCTTACTTCTTCTTTTTTTAAATCATTTATTGGGGGCTCGGACAATTCTTATCACAATCTGTACATACATCCATTGTGTCAATAACATTTGTACATTTGTTGCCATCATCATTCTCAAACATTTGCTTTCTACTTGAGCCCTTGATATAGCTCCTCATTTTACCTCCTTTCTTTCTTTTTAACATTTTTTTAATTTTTTCTTTTTCTTTTTTTGAATTAACTTATTCTTTTCTGGGTCATTGATTTTCTTTTTTGTTGTCATCGTTGTGTTATCTTTTGTCGCTTTGTCTTGCTATGCCTTGTTTTTTGGTGCATAGTATTATTTCTGCAGATATCCAGATAAGATAAACTGGATGAACAATCTGGAGGAGAAAACAATGGGACTGATGGTTCCAAGGGGACATGGGAGAGGGGAAGCAGGGATAAGGAGGTGGTGTTGACCAACCCAGGGACAAGAGAGCAACAAGTGATCCAACATTAGTGGCAAGGAGGGTGTGAGAAGCCTGGTAGGGATTCAGCAAGGGCAATGTAACCAAGAGAAATTACTGAAACCAAAATGAAGGCTAAGCGTGATAGTGGGACAAGATGAAAGTAAAAGGAAATAGAGGAAAGAACTAGGAGGCAAAGGGTATTTATAGAGGTCTAAATACAGACATGTACCTATGTAAATATATTTGTATAGGATGGTGGGGAAATAGATCTATGTGCATATATTTATAGGTTTAGTTTTAAGGCAGCAGACCTCCACTCAAGTACTTACTCAATGAAAGAACACTTTGTTCTATTAAATTGGCATTCCATGATGCACACCTTTCCGACACGATCACTGAAGAGAAATGTGTGCATAAGCAAATGTGGTGAAGATAGCTGATGGTGCCCAGCTATTAAAAGATATAGCATCTGGGGTCTTAAAAGCTTGCAGGTAAACAAGCAGCCCTTGCTTCTAAAGAGCATTCTTCTTGTACTTTTCTACGACCAATTTGTTTGTTCTTTTGACATTTCATAGTATATTCTATATTCTTTTCAACAGCATAATTAAACATCCAGTGCTTCTCCAGTCTTCCTTATTATTGTCCAGCTTTCACATGCATTGGAAGCAATTAAAAATACCATGGCTTGGAGTAGGCATTCTTTTGCAGCATATTTAGTCAATGCAATACATCATTAGTTTTCTTGACTTCTGTTTCCATGATAGTTGACTGGGGATCCAAATATAATTAATTCTTTGAAAGCTTCACATTTTTCTCCATTTAATATCATGTTGTCTATTGGTTCAGTTGCATGGCTTTTTTTTCTTTATGTTCGAGTGTAATCTGTACTAAAGCCTATCATTTTTATTTTAATCCTTAAATTATTGAAGTTCTATTCTTTTTCAACATGTAAGATTGTGTCATCTGTATATTACAGCTCTTTAAATTATTCTTCTTCCAATCCTGCTGCCATTCTTCTTCACAAATAAAGCTTCCAGGATTATTTGTTCAGCATATAGATTGAATAACGTAACCTTATTCTGTTTAAATGACTGCCTCTTGGTCTATATAAAGGTCCCACATACGTATAATTAAGTGTTCTTAAATTTCCATTCTTTACAATGTTGGCCATAGTTTGTTGAAGCCAAAAAGTTTAATGCATTTACGTAGTCAAAAAACACCAGCAAACATCTTTATGATGCTCTCTCTTTCATTCAAGACCCTTTGGACATCAGCAAAGCTATATCTTATTCCACATCTTCTGCTAACTCCAGTTGGAATTCTGTCAATGTACTGCTCCAACTGTATTTGAAATATCTCCAGAAAAATTCCAGCTGCATGTAATATTATTGATAGTGTTAATTAATTTATTCATTCTCTTGGGTTACCTGT